CTACGACTACTACTACTACTACTACTACTACTACGGCTATGACTACGACTACGAGTACGACTGCTACTACTACTACGACTACGACGACTACTACTACTACTACTACTACTACTACTACTACTACTTACTACTACTACTACTACTACTACTACTACTACTACTACTACTACTACTACTACTACTACTACTACTACTACTGCTGCTGAATGCCACGTACTACTTGGGCCAGACGCCATCCAGAAGAGGCCCGAGCACTCCTCTCCTACTCCTACTCCTGCTCCTCCTTCTTCTCACGGTCCTCTTTCACCTCGTCTTCCTCCTGCCAAAATCCTGGTAGAGATGGTGGGTCTGCCCGAAGCCCGTCCAGACGACGCCTGAATATTCCCCGTCTCGGCACATCGCGTACAACGGCATGCCTGGCAAAATCCGCACCTCGGGCGCCAGAGGAACGTGAGTCGGGACCCAGTCGTTATGGACCTTGGCTGTTAGGTCGCAGGCGCTGGTTGCGCGATCTGACCAACCCCGAGGAGCAGCCGAGGAGAAGGATGAGGAGAAGGATGTCTGGAGGAGGAGGAGGAGACAAGGAGACGAGGAGAGGCCGAGGAGAAGGATGAGGAGAAGGATGATGATGAGGAGAAGGCGGAGGAGGAAGCGGAGACGAGGAGGAGACGAGGAGGAGCACTAGGAGGAGGAGCACGAGGAGCACGAGGAGGACGAGGAGGTGACCGCTCCCTCGGCTGCCCAGACTGCGGACCAATGGCGCGACCGCCTCCTCCCGACTCCACGGCCAATCGCAGCCACCCGCGGCCGACCGCGCGGCTCCCGATGCCGAGCTGCGGACGCCCCACTCCAGCAGGTGCACCCGCTCCTCCTCTGGGGGTTGCCAGAAGAGGTGCCCCTGGCCCGAGGTGCCCCCAGCTTCTCGCTCCGCTGTGGAGCCCCATCGGTCTCCTGGGCCTCGAGAGGGTGCTCTGGAGGCCGCGGGGGCCTCCTTGGAAATCTTGGGGGGGCACCTGCGGCCAGGGGCGCTGGAGGAGGAGCAGGAGGAGGAGGAGGAGGAGGAGGAGGAGGAGGAGGAGGAGGAGGAGGAGGAGGAGGAGGAGGAGAGGAGGAGGGAGGAGGAGAGGAGGAGGGAGGAGGAGGAGGAGGAGGAGGAGGAGGAGGAGGGAGGAGAGGAGGAGGAGGAGGAGGAGGAGGAGGAGGAGGAGGAGGAGGGAGAAGGAGGAGGAGGCGGCTCCTGGGCCCAGA